GGGGCCACTCACGTGCTGAGTGAGACCAAACGTATCAAGTAAAGAACTCAGCTCTTTTGCATTTCTGTCATTAACATTATCCACATGAATATTAAAATCACCTGTAATAACTAAGCTATCAAAGTCTGTGCATACAACTGAAAGCAACTCGGTAAAATTATCAATAAAACTGTGACATGACTGCGGTGGCTTGTATAGGACAACGAAATGTATTGGAGGAGATTGTTTTGGTTGTATTTTAAAAGACACATATTCAAAAGACGGAAACTTCCCAAGAGACATTCTATGGGACACAAAGTGGTCTCTAAAAATGGCAGCTAAGTCTCCTCCTTTTTTTTTTTCCCGTATTTCAGATTCAAATTTGAAATTTGGTGGTGATGCTTCTATTAAAACTGCATTTTCTGTATTTTGGTCAAGCCAAGTTTCAGCCATGAACATAAGATCAAGATTATGAGAACAAATAAAATTATTGAATATAAAAAGACTAGTTACAAAGAGATCTGACATCTAGGATAGCAAGTTTCAAGGATTCAGTGTCAGCGGTTGTGGTCGGCTGATTTTTACACGGAACAAGAATTAGATTTCCCAGATTAGACTGACTAACTTCAGATGTTTTTCTGTTATGTATTCTTTGTGTTATCACTAAGGGAATGGCACAGGTGGCTTCATGACAGGGCACCAGCCGGGTCTCTTCTCTACCTAGACTGCCAGTGGTTGCGAAGCAGAGACCCTGTGCATCCTAGGGAGAGGAGGGAGGGGCAGGAGTTGGGGGAGTGGAGGTGGAGGGGTTCTTGGTGATGGGCTAGGGAGGAAACGAGGGGGGTGGGGGGGGGGCTGGAATGGTTTCGGGGTTAGGGGAGGGACCGGTGGATTTTGTGGGAGAATTTGAGTTGGACGCCCTAGGTGGCTTTGGAGGTACGTGTGGGGAGTAGTTATGAATGTTAGATAGGACTCTTGATCTGGCTACAGTGGGTGTGAGAGGAATAGTCTTCATCGCCGATCTTATCATGCCTGCAGAGTGTTCCGGTAAATCCAATAGTGATGGAAAACACAGGGAAAGGTCGTCCTCATGTTCCTTATAATTTTTCTTGATAATAGAACTCTCAAACCAATAATGACCACTGCCCTTTGGCAACGCAATCTCTGTTTGTAATTCAGGTGTGTAAAATACTAACATTACTCTGCAAGTAACAGCTACAACAAGCCTTCAGCGCCTGTCACTACACTGTGCAGCTTATCTGCAGAGAAGCTAGCGGAGCTAGCAGAGTTAGCCACGCTCAATAAACAAATACCTATCAATCAATCAACGCCATTAAATGTTAATCGGACAATACAGTATACAGTACATATACATCCTTAACACACATTCACGGACGTTTTCAGAATTAGCTGTAAACGTTTTCATGACAAAATTACTATTAATTATTATTATTATTATTAATGTGACCAAAAGCAATCGCGAAAAACCCGGAAGTAACTATTAACATGAAACGTTTTAGGACGTTTTAGGACACATTTGAAGAGGATCTGATGCATTTAGGTTCGGTATATAAATGGGTAACTCACCACTGATGTTCAGAATTCTTTGTTCAGTTTTCAGGTAGTTTCAGAGAGTTTTTGAACTAGCTAGCTTAGCTGTTACCTGCCTAGCACGTCCCAGTGAAACCTTTGGGAGCTAACTATTTTATTTGCAGTCATTAAATACATTTCGAATTATAAGGGCTGTCTAATATTTGTTCGAATATATATATATTTTTAATTTTAGAATTATATTCAAATTTTGAGGCCGAAGCCCTAGTTTTAGCAGTTTTATGCAGGCTGTTCGAGAACGAGCGTCCCGCTAAGACTCTACTCAGCACTTTTCACGGCCGTATCTCATAAACTGCTAAATCAATGACCTCAAGTTTTCAATTCAATTATGGATTATAATAGAACTTGTATGTAGTAATAAGCATTTTTATGAACTTCTTAGAAAAATAATTGGGTATAGCTTCTTTAAAGCAGCAGTATGTAAAAATGTGGCCAAGTGTGGTACTGCAGCCTCTCCCACTCACCCTGACTCAGGTTGCCAGATATGCAGACGAATCCAGCTGGGACCATAACAGCTGAATAGACAAGAGTTTTGTCAACAACAAATCTATAACCAACACCTTTTTCACAAAGATAGAAATCCTGGTTTTATTCCTTGTTTTGTCGTTAATGATTTGAGAATCATAACCAGATCTTTTTTAGCATGGTACTTCTTTACTATGTATTTTCAGCTGGTGCGACTCATAATCTGAAAAGATTTTTCAGCTTCCACCACTACATTTTTTGTCGTCACATGAACACAACCTATTATTAAAAGACATTATAACTAAGGAAATGGAAAAGAAATTGAAAGACCATATTATAGAAGGTCAAATGCAGCCAATGCCAAAGCCTTGTCTGTTGATTTAGTTCACCGCCTCCAACCGCCTCCAATGAAAATGATTCTCTGATTCTGTGATACAAAGACGATTTGGCAGCGTTGCACAGGTTGGCTGGATTTATACAAATAAATATTCATGGTGAAACCCCCGCAATAAACAAGGGGCCAGTGTAATACAAAGTAAATAATAATAATAATAATAATAATGATAATACTCCAGGTCTCCTTACAAACGAGTAAAAAAGTGCATTTTAAAAACAGTAAAAATACGAAGTTAAAGCCACATGGACAGTGTTAGTGAGTAGGATTGTAAAGTCAAACAAATGTGAGAGTTTTTACAGTGCAAACATTTACAAACAAATATAAATAATGTACTTTATCAGTTTATTTCAGCTTTAGCCCTTGGAACTGAAATACACCTCTTTGGGGAATCTCACTTGGTTTCAGGCACTTTTACCATCAACCATTTTGAGGGCTGGATTATAATAATAATTACAATTAAAATAAGGATACAACATTAAGTGTTATTATTGCTCTGACGTCTTAGAAAATCCAAAAAAGAAAAAAATACATTTGCTTTCTTCATGTTAAGAAATTAAAATGGTGAAACTTCAAGAAAAACTGTTAAAGTCTGTATAAAACAGACTGTTTTTCTTCTATATAATTCTTTTTATAGATCAGCATTTAAATGAATGAAAACCAAATAGGACTGATGTCATGAACGATTAGTAAAGAGTCCGTTAGAGAGAGATATAATCCTCTCAAACATACGTTTGTTACGACTTCCTGTTTACTACGAACCGAGTTTCTGTCTCAGAAAAACCACAAGAACCAAAAGAGCAGCTTTTTATCACTTTAGTTTTGGACTCAGACCAAAACTCCAACACTCAGTATTATTTGTTATTATTTATAATTTAGATTCACTTTCACGTACATCGACATAATCCAACTGTGCCAAACAAGAAAAGTAAATAAAATATATTAATAACAAAATAATAATACTAATAATAATAATAACTAGGGGTGCAACGGTTTGAAAAAATCACGGTTCGGTTCGTACCTCGGTTCAGAGGCCACGGTTCGGTTCATTTTTCGGTTCATTTTTCTAAAAAAAAGTGGTGTCTTTTTAATAAACACAGCTCATGTGGACTCGGCACCTGCTCTGACTGCCCCCACCTGCCCTAGAAATGAATTAAGAGGAAGGAAATGGATGGATGGATGGAAGGCATATTCCATCCATCCAATTATGTCTATTTAACATAATTAATGAAAAACAACACAAAGTGCAACATAAGAAGGCACTTTATGAGGATATTTACCCTCATATATTACACCACCTTCCTGATTCTCCCAAGGAGGGGGTCCATTCTGGGCCCAGCCTCATTCACTGCATTTATTTAATTTTTGGCATTATCAGTTGTGACTGGGATATTAGTACTGGGCCTTTGTCTTCCATTCCTCCGCTGTTGTGTCAGTACCTGCACTGTGTGACTGTGTGACTGTCGTAGAGGGGGCGTGTCTGCAGCGCCAGACTTCTCATCTCCCAGTCTGCGGTGATGAACTGAGCGGTTCCGCTCATGGATCTATTATAGGTTCCGCGGGACGTCCAAGCGTCAGTCGTGAGCGCAGCTGAGGATGCGCGGGAGAGTTGACTTTAGCCTGGTCTGACTGTGCGTAAAGGAGCTGCTTAAATGCCGCGACAATAGGTGGTCGTTGAGACGCTTTTTTCACTCATGTCTTTCTTGTGCCACAGTGCTTACACATCGTGACAGTTTTGTCGAATATTAATTATCAGTGTAGTTACAGTGAAGCCAAAATGCTCTCATACTGGGGATTTAAATGACGCAGGGCTTTCAAGCTCCTCCGTTCCTCCGCTCGCAATGACCGCGCTGTGTGTGGACTGAACAACGTGCGCACAACTTTTTTTTCATAAATCAAACCGCGGATCACGTCTGTACCGAACCGAAGACGTTGAACCGAACGGATCACGGATCAGTGATGAACCGTTGCACCTCTAATAATAACAATAAATAAAAAGGGCCTGGGTTAGCTTTCATTCACAGATCATAAAGATAATAATAAATAAAAGATGCAGGTTTTTAGGTGTTCAGTGAGTTTCTGAGTTGAACCATTGATTAGTTTATATGACTGTACTAACCCTTAGCTAAAGTCTCTGCAGTGATTCTGAATCCTCTGATCCAAAGGTTCAGAGTTGGATTCTGCAGAAGGAGGTTCTGAGAAACTGAAATCATTTAGAACCGGGACAGAATCTGGAGTAAAAGCGTTTAACAAATGAACTCATGTTTCCTGTGTTTGTGCCTCAGAGAGGATCAGAGTTTTCACAGTGACACAAAACAAGTGACGCTGAAGCTGCAGAGACCGAGACCGAGTCTAAGTCTGAGTCCAGAGTCTCAGAGCTTTACTTTACAGACTGAGGTCAGGACTGAGGTCAGAGGTCGTTGTGTGAACGAGTGAATGAATAAGGAATTATTGAAAGTTATAACTGGGCTTAAGCAATAAAACAAAAACTATTGGACTCTGCCTCTAGTCTAGGTCCTGATCTCCGGACCCGGTCTCAAAGTGAACAGGAATGGTTCACTTTCAAAACAGACAAATGTAAATAGTTTGTTAGGATTAGATAGCGATCTGGTGCAGGACAAGCACAAGACTGTACAAGGACTCTGATGCTACATCCATGTTATGACTATGATTTGCGATGCTCCATCTCTGTGTGACACGTATGTCTTTCGATGTGTGACGTGACAATGACTATATAAACTGTGTACTTCCTTTGTTCTGTCTGAGAGAAAGAAACATCGGAAACCACTGTAACTTGAGAGAAACCAAAATAAACTTCCAGAGTTTTGGCGCACCACGATCCGTCTCTGTCTAGTTCATTCCTACCAGATTAAAACAGAAGAACCCATTTGGATGATCCATTCTGACCCAGTCCTTACGGAGCTTTAATAAGTCTTAAAAATCAAAACACTTTGTAATTTACTAAAATAAAATAAAACTCTAAAAACTCTAAAATAAAGTTCTTTACTGGATTGTCTCAGTTTTATCTGAACAGACTCAGGTCGAGTTTCACTCGGTCTCTACCTCCACTGCACAGGAATGTTAGGAATGCTCTGGACACAAACTACCAAAAGGAGAGACTACCCCCCCAGTCCCTACAGGAGAGAGTACAGTCCCTAAAGGAGCGAGCACCCCCCAGTCCCAACAGGAGAGAGTACCTCCTAATCCCTACAGGAGAGAGTACCACCCAGTCCCTGCAGGAGAGAGTACCACCCAGTCCCTGCAGGAGAGAGTACCCCCAGTGCCTACAGGAGAGAGTACCCCCAGTCCCTACAAGAGAGTACAGCCCCTACAGGAGAGAGTACAGCGCCTACAGGAGAGTATACAGTGCCTACAGGAGAGAGTACCACCCAGTCCCTACAGGAGAGAGTACAGTCCCCACAGGAGAGAGTACCCCCCAGTCCCTACAGGAGAGAGTACTGTACAGCACCTACAGGAGAGAGTACAGTGCCTACAGGAGAGAGTACAGTGCCTACAGGAGAGAGTACAGTGCCTACAGGAGAGAGTACCACCCAGTCCCTACAGGAGAGAGTACCACCCAGTCCCTACAGGAGAGAGTACAGTCCCAACAGGAGAGAGTACCTCCTAGTCCCTACAGGAGAGAGTACCACCCAGTCCCTCCAGGAGAGAGTGCCACCCAGTCCCTCCAGGAGAGAGTACCACCCAGTCCCTGCAGGAGATAGTACAGTCCCTACAGGAGAGAGTACCCCCAGTGCCTACAGGAGAGAGTTCCCCCAGTCCCTACAAGAGAGTACAGCCCCTACAGGAGAGAGTACAGCGCCTACAGGAGAGAATACAGTGCCTACAGGAGAGAGTACCACCCAGTCCCTACAGGAGAGAGTACAGTGCCTACAGGAGAGAGTACCACCCAGTCCCTACAAGAGAGAGTACAGTGCCTACAGGAGAGAGTACAGTGCCTACAGGAGAGAGTACAGGGCCTACAGGAGAGAGTTCCCCCAGTCCCTACAGGAGAGAGTACAGCGCCTACAGGAGAGAATACAGTGCCTACAGGAGAGAGTACCACCCAGTCCCTACAGGAGAGAGTACAGTCCCTACAGGAGAGAGTACAGTCCCTACAGGAGAGAGTACCCCCCAGTCCCTACAGGAGAGAGTACCGTACAGCCCTACAGGAGAGAGTACAGCGCCTACAGGAGAGAGTACAGTGCCTACAGGAGAGAGTACAGGGCCTACAGGAGAGAGTACAGTGCGAACAGGAGAGAGTACAGTGCCTACAGGAGAGAGTACAGGGCCTACAGGAGAGAGTACCACCCAGTCCCTACAGGAGAGAGTACAGTGCCAACAGGAGAGAGTACAGTGCCTACAGGAGAGAGTACAGTGCCTACAGGAGAGAGTACAGTGCCTACAGGAGAGAGTACAGTGCCTACAGGAGAGAGTACAGTGCCTACAGGAGAGAGTACCACCCAGTCCCTACAGGAGAGAGTACAGTCCCAACAGGAGAGAGTACAGTCCCAACAGGAGAGAGTACCTCCTAGTCCCTACAGGAGAGAGTACCACCTAGTCCCTACAGGAGAGAGTACCACCCAGTCCCTACAGGAGAGAGTACCACCCAGTCCCTACAGGAGAGAGTACCACCCAGTCCCTACAGGAGAGAGTACCGTACAGTAGAGCCCTGCACTTGAGCCCTTGGCCCGAGGGCCCCGACGGCCCGACAGCCCGAGGGCCGGGCTTCGGGCCGATGACCGCATAATGACCTCGGACACGGGCCGGGCTCGGGCTCTTCATTTTCAGAGCGGCAGAATACATTTACGAACGCACCCACTGAATATAGCGTTCTATCACGCTGTAGTGTTTGTTGTTCTGTGTAGTGTTGTCATTGACGGCACATAGCGTTACTTACAGGTATGTTGCAGCATCTGGGCATCATACAGCTGTGTATCATACAGATGTTCACTCTGCACCACTCCGCACACACAGAACTCATTGCAACACATCACTACCATGTATAACTCCGCCCTCTAGCTAAGTCTGCGTTCATATCAGTGCGCGGCACTATATACTACGCTAAAACATTGTTATGGGAGGTTACAAAAAAAAAAAAAAAGGCGGGCTTGATGCGGGTTTTGGGCCTGAAAATTGAGAAACCATATCGGGCCGGGCCGGGCTGGGGCGCCACCCCCTCGGGCCAGGGCCGGGCTCGGGCCCAGATAATAGGCCCGTGCAGGGCTCTACCGTACAGCCCCTACAGGAGAGAGTACAGCCCCTACAGGAGAGAGTACAGTGCCTACAGGAGAGAGTACCACCCAGTCCCTACAGGAGAGAGTACAGTGCCTACAGGAGAGAGTACAGTGCCTACAGGAGAGAGTACCACCCAGTCCCTACAGGAGAGAGTACAGTCCCTACAGGAGAGAGTACCGTACAGCCCCTACAGGAGAGAGTACAGTGCCTACAGGAGAGAGTACCACCCAGTCCCTACAGGAGAGAGTACCACCCAGTCCCTACAGGAGAGAGTACAGTGCCTACAGGAGAGAGTACCACCCAGTCCCTACAAGAGAGAGTACAGTGCCTACAGGAGAGAGTACCACCCAGTCCCTACAGGAGAGAGTACCTCCTAGTCCCTACAGGAAAGAGTACCACCCAGTCCCTGCAGGAGAGAGTACCACCCAGTCCCTGCAGGAGAGAGTACCACCCAGTCCCTGCAGGAGAGAGTACCCCCAGTGCCTACAGGAGAGAGTACCCCCAGTCCCTACAAGAGAGTACAGCCCCTACAGGAGAGAGTACAGCACCTACAGGAGAGAATACAGTGCCTACAGGAGAGAGTACCACCCAGTCCCTACAGGAGAGAGTACAGTCCCTACAGGAGAGAGTACCCCCCAGTCCCTACAGGAGAGAGTACCGTACAGCCCCTACAGGAGAGAGTACAGCGCCTACAGGAGAGAGTACCACCCAGCGCCTACAGGAGAGAGTACCACCCAGTCCCTACAGGAGAGAGTACAGTGCCTACAGGAGAGAGTACCCCCCAGTCCCTACAGGAGAGAGTACCGTACAGCCCCTACAGGAGAGAGTACAGTGCCTACAGGAGAGAGTACCACCCAGTCCCTACAGGAGAGAGTACAGTGCCTACAGGAGAGAGTACAGTGCCTACAGGAGAGAGTACCACCCAGTCCCTACAAGAGAGAGTACAGTGCCTACAGGAGAGAGTACAGTCCCTACAGGAGAGAGTACCACCCAGTCCCTACAGGAGAGAGTAGTCCTGTAGGGACTGTACTCTCTCCTGTAGGATTATTATCCATAAATTATCCTGACCTTTTCTTGGTAACGTGTTTGAAATGACAAAAGGCAAAGATTGACAATAAACCATTTTAAAGGAGCGGTCTGTAAAAATGTGGCCAAAAGTGGCACTGCAGCCTCTCCCACTCTCCCTGTCTCAGGTTGCCAGATATGCAGACGAATCCAGCTGGGACCATAACAGCTGAATAGACAAGAGTTTTGTCAACAACAAATCTATAACCAAGATCTTTTTCACAAAGATAGAAATCCTGGTTTTATTCCTTGTTTTGAGAATTTGAGAATCATAACGAGACTTTTTTTAGTTCTGCGCCACATGGTACTTTACCAGTGAGATACCGCTCCATGCGGTGAGTTCTGGCGTCCGGATCACAGACTTTCTGATTGGTGAAACGGTGGAGGGCGGGACATGTGATATAAACCTGGATTTGTTGATAATTGTCTCACGTTTTGTAGAACATTAGAATATTATGAAATGGACTAAACTAGAATCATCAACATTAAAACATTTTAATAAGTCTGTATCAATGTTTAAATCCAGGTTCAATAAAAAAATGATGTTTTGAACTTTCTGTAGCACCTGTGCATTGCATTTGTAAGGTGTGTTATGAATAAAATCTATTATATATGTGATTGTTTTATGTCTATCCCACACTTTGAGTTTCCTTCTTTATGAATCTGAATAAACTTGTCTTTCCGATCATAAACTAGGATCATATTTTTAGTTAAACTATAGAAATAAGTTCCTCCTGTTCCATTTGTAACCACTGAAGCATTTAATCCAGCACAATAAACACAACACAATATACATTAAATAATAAATAAATAAAATAAAATAAATCACAGTCCAACTAAAAATGTCATCATGTTCCTGTGGAATGCGCCGGACGCCGTTGTTCTGTCGAGTTGGTCTGCCCGTCGAGATGATCTGGCTCAGCTGTTAATGATGTAATGCAAACCTGCGCTGCGCGTCTCACGGCAGCCAAAGCAATCCAAGATGGCGGACATGTAGTCCGCGAATTGCTGTGTAGTTTCACAGGAGCAGTGGACTGCTTAAAACAAACTTTACACGAAACTCTTACTCTTAAAACACACATATCACAACGCGGAACCATCAACATCTCGCCTCAAACTGCATTAAAAGTGACATTTGTGTCTTAATTTGGTCGTATTTAACTTTTAAAAGCAATTCGCGGACTACATGTCCGCCATCTTGGATTGCTTCGGCTGCCGTGAGACGCGCATGCGCAGGTTTGCATTACATCATTAACAGCTGAGCCAGATCATCTCGACGGGCAGACCAACTCGACAGAACACCGTGACACGACACAGAATGTAAAGAAGGAGATTTGTGCCGAACGTGGAAAGAATGCGACGGGAATGCGCCGGCAGCACTTTCACAGACGCATGGTTGAAGGGCCCTTAGCATTAGCATTAGTATCAGCCATGCGTCATAAACACCTCACCATAAACAAGACCAGTCTGTCCTGGTCCAGAGACAATGGGGATCCAGCCTCAAACAATCAGAGGAGAGGACGGGTTTCTAGAGGAGCAGTGTCAGCCAATCAGAGGAGAGGTCGGGTTTCTATAGGAGCGGTGTCAGCCAATCAGAGGAGAGGCCGGGTTTCTTTAGCAGTGTCAGCCAATCGGAGGAGAGGCCGGGTTTCTATAGGAGCAGAGTCAGCCAATCAGAGGAGAGGACGCGTTTAGGCAATTCCCGATTAATCAATGCCAGAGAAGGAACTGAAAATACAACTTGAAAGAATAAAAGAAAAAAAATCACAGGTTCAGAGTTTGCATTGGCAAGCAAACAAACAGAGTCAGATAATTTAAAGTAATAATAATAAGAATAATAAATTGGTTTTATACAGCACTTTTCAGACACTCAAAGTCTTTTCACATCATTATTCTCACACAGTGGTGATAAACTACTACTGTAGCCACAGCTGCCCTGGGGCACACTGACAGAAGCGAAGCAACCAGTCTGTGCTATCGGCCCCTCCCACCACCACCAACCATTTACACACACACCAGACTCATTCTAATGTGGGGGAAGTGTCTTGCCTAAGGACACAACCACAGTTTGGCACTTTACAGCCGCAGCCGCCCCACTGTGGCACCTGCTGTTCCCAGAGGTGTCTTGCCCAAGGACACAACGACGGCAGACATCAGTGAGAGTCGATGGTGTATGTTTAAAAAGTATATTTTGAGTAAAAATAACTAAATATCTCAAACCATAAATGTGAAAAATGTCAAGGCTTGAAGTGAGTGGTTTTGTGTCGAGTAAAACATTGACAGTTTTATAGAAAAAGTGACAAAGATGAGACGCTTCTGTCGACAACAAAACAAAAAACGAATCTTCAAAATATCCACAATAAATCCTACTTTTGTTGCCAGAATCTGTGACACAGAAGCAATGCACTGCCTACAGAAGCAATCCACCTGCTGGGGTTTAGCTTTAACAGTACAAACTCCTGTTACGTGTGACTTATTTTTGTATCTGCTTTGATTTAACTGTGGTGCTAAAAGTTTTTGTTTTTGAATTTTGTAAAGAGAAAAAAACAAAAGATAAGAGCCATGACCTTCACAAACTGGCAACCCAAATCCCTCTGCTCCGATTGGATGAGCCGCTTGACAGTTGTAAACATAGCTATTAAAACAGCATGTCACTGTATTGTATTACAGATAACTCACTTTAAACGTTAAAAGGTCAAATATGATTAGTTTAAGTTGACCCATGATCTGGAGAGACTTACAATAAATATAAATATAAATAAATAGTGTCTTTCCGTTTAAATAACTGTCTTTGTGATTCTCCAGCCTCAGTTTGATGCAGCCCTTACTCGCTCTACTTCCTGGGCTCCTGTGTGAGGATTCCCAGAGTGTGTATTGATTTTCCCTGTGGGCGGTCCCTGTGGGCGGTCCCTGTGGGCGGTCCCTGTGGTCAATGAGTTATCTGCAGCTGAGCAAAGGTCCCCAGAGCAGAGAGAGCGAAACAACCAAACTAACAAGAGTCCGAGATCACATGACACTGGAACACGGACACCAGCACAGACACCAGCGAGACACCAGCACAGACACTTTAGAAAACATAGGTCTTCTACTGCGACAGGCGACTCTCAGGGAGGATTTAGACGAAGACGCTGCAAAGTCATTAGCAAAAACAACCAGGCTCCTGCATAGTGTTTAGATGGCCACTGAAGACCATGTAGCTCTAGCCTCCGGCCTGTAGGGGACAGTGGAACAACAGCAGCGTCGCAGCGTCTCCATGGAAACAGCACTTTATACCAATAGTTGTAGCAGTTGGATATGATTGTGATAACAGAATAAAACCACAGGAAATGCAATAGTAACAAACACACAAGAGCCATTGGTCTTTAGGGAACGACCTATGTTTATAAATGTTATAAAATATGTCCAGAAATGTCATTAAAATGTCCAAAATCAAAGTTCTTAGAGCCTCCTGCATCGACACGGAAAAAGTCATTGGGGAATAAGTGAGAAACCTCGGGGAAACCAACACAGAGAGGGATCTCTCACAGACTGGCTGTAGACCCAGGACCCAGGACCGGGGGGCCCCAGCTTTAGAGGGTCAAACCACAAAATAATCAAATTCATTCCACCTCACTCTCAAAGACTGTGCTCTACAAATCACTGCATTATTATTGAAGTGAAGTCCATTGTGGAAATGTGCCAAAAGCAGCAGAAAGACTATAAATGCTTCACTTTCTACAACTGGTTTAGTACACGCTCCGTCTGCACCGAGGGGAAGGACGTCCAACAGTCTGTGCACACCATGGATCACCATGACAACCGCTCATCACCACCGGAAACACTGACAACATCATCCCTCTGGTCTGAAGCGTTTGAGGGGAACAGTTTTATATACTATATATTTATATTATATACCACTAAAATAAATATCTCTAGCTTTAGCATCCTTGCTTAGTATGGAGATGTTGTACTTGCTTCTTTATTATGCTAAAGTTAGGTTTTATTAGTATTATTTTATCATCCTATTTTAAACATAGAGTTATTGCTCATTTATCTTGTGTTGTGTGCTCCTCATTCCTACTGTCCTGTAACTGCTGATGCAACACTGACATTTCCCCATGTGGGACAAGGATCTCTTTATCCTAATGTCATGACCTAATGACCATGTCAGATGTTATTAAAGCTACTGGACATAACTTTAGGCCTGATTTGGACGTCTTCTGCAAAAACACTTTCCGATGAATGATATTAAGGAACTAACTAGTTAATAATTTACCACCAGGATTTCCAGAATTCTGAAACTACTAAAACTTCAAGAGCAGATATTTCGGTTCCTCCCATTCCCCCCAAAAACTGTTGAATAATTTTCCAACAAACGTATCAAAAGTAAGTAATACAGGTTTTTTTTTTTACCTTTTAAATAAGATCTAGAACAGGTGACATTTGAAATACCGCTTTTAAAACAAATAGTTTAAAGGCTACCGAATGCTAATGCTAACAACTGCAAGTAAACAGTGTGTTGCTATGGTAAGTACCACCATCTTCTCTGCCCGGTCCAGGACCAGCAGGAAGACAGAAGAGGCTTAATTTTTATTATTATTTTTATTCCTTTTGCAACCTTTAGTGCCCAGAAAGATAGCATACAAATAAAATATATTAATAATAACAATAATAATAATAATAATTATTATTATCATCAGGTCTTTAACGTCATTCATTTGATTGTCCAATTGTTGGTCATTATAATAATGACTGTGAGAGATTTTGTTTGTGCAGTTAGTGAGAAGATTTCCAGTTTCCAGGTCACACTTGTTAACTTTCAGTATGACTAAAACAGACTCTTGTATATAACTTAAAAATTAACAAATTAAACTGGAATAAATCCAATCACTATCATAATTAAACATTACAATTTTATAAATATAAATAAACTAACTAAATAAACCTGGAGAGGCCCATTACTGTCTCATTCACAAATATCAATGCTATGTTTGGACTGATGTGTAGTAATGTACCGAGCTAAAAAAAACACGATTTATAAAAGATATTATAAGACATTTCTATGCTTCAAACTCTCAGACAAACAGAACGATCAATAGTTCAACCCAGAGCAGGACTAAAGATAGAAGTCTGAAAGATGATCCAGGAAACTTTAGTGCTGTCAATGCATGAGAGGTTTAAGGACAGTGGGATTTTTGTGTTATTTCCTACCGTACTTTAGAACTGAGACAACAAAGTGTATCTATCTACATCTACCCACATACAGCACTTTCATTTGATTTGGTAAATAGATCTAGACTTGTACACATGAAAAAACTATTTTCCAGTGAATAGGTGTGACTCTGGACTGTGCCAAGATCCAGGAGGAAGAAGAAACAAACACATGGACAAAGGTTCTTTCATCATACACTGTTTTTCTGAATGATTCAAATGAAGTTAGTGACTTTTGGGCCGTGACAAAGACGTATTCATAAATAAACTAGTGTAGCAGAGAACAGAGCCCAGAGCAGCAGCCGTGGGTGATTCAGGAGAGAGGACCGTGTGATAAAACATGTCACACCTTCACACGGAGGTGAGCGGCACAAACACACGGAACTTTGAATCAGAGCGAAGACCACAACAACAGAGAGCTGTCAATCAGAGCCGGAGGACAACAGAGAGCTGTCAATCAGAGCTGGAGGAGGCGGAGCTTTGGGGGCTGCAGGTTCATTCATGCAATTTATATACACTGTTTTTATCAGTAGCACTTGAGCCTCACAGCGAGAAGCACGAGTGCAAACACATGTGCTCTGTGTAAGTTTCCTCCAGGTGCTTCGGTCTCCTCCTAGTGCTCTGGTTTCCCCTACCAACAACATGTACAAAAGGTGAGGGTTGAATGAGAGTGTTTGTGACTGAGACAGAAGAACATTAGCTACAATCTGTGTAATCACAGCTCCTGCTGTTCATGAATACACAGCGTCTCATCCAAACTAAATTTTACAATAACACATTATTCATTCACTACACACAGTGATAAACTACTATTGTAGCCACAGCTGCCAAATGGCGAGGCAACCAGTCTGTCATCGGCCCCTCCCACCACCACCAACCATTCACACACACACACCAGATTCACTCTAATGTGGGGGAAGTGTCTTGCCTAAGGACACAACCACAGTTTGGCACTTTACTGCCGCCCCACTGGTCTCCCGTCACAGAACTAACCAGGCCCTGCCCTGCTTAGCTTCATAGGTCTGACAGGGCCTGGCTTTAAGCTACAGGTGGTGCCACACATGTGTTTAAGTGTAGAATAAAACAGATGATTCTAATTGGATTATTAAGATACTAGAGTCTTGTTTTCTCTCTCTCTCTGCATCGTCTTCTCTGCAGTCGATCTGATCACATTTGGCTCGGTCTGGTCTGGCTTCCTCTCTCTCCACATTCTTTGGCAGGTCGCAGCCTGCTGTAGCAACGCACAGAGATCCAGCTAAACACACTCAGCATTCAAAAATCCTCCTTTTCCACTTCTCCCAGTTCCCTCCGGGCTGCAGTTGTAAAGTGTGTCCTCTGTGAGACCAGAGTGAAACATTGACAGGCGCTGGCTTCTTACATGTTCCACTCTGAAAATGACGTTATGCAATCGCTCCTAACAATCTGAAAGCATAAAAGCAGGAAGCGTGAGCGTGAAGGAGACTGAGGGAGCAGCGGCTGCTAATGGGGAACCTGATCAACTATACTGCTAATAATGAAGAACATTTGGGACAGTACAAAGTTTGCATCAGAGCTTGTCTTGGCGATTCTATTTTTATTTTTTGTACGCACATTTCAAATTGTATTTTAACTTTAGCTCCTTGTGGCCTCGGTCTGTGAAAGGCGCTGTATAAATAAAGCTTAATTACTACTTTCACCGTTTCTGAGGTTGATTTTTGAAGTAATTTCACCAACTTTCGCTTTCTCTGACCTCTGCCCACGACGCCATCTCCTACTGATAAAAGATATGAAAAACTGTATGGGAGTGATTTGACAGAATTAGACCCAACTCATTTGATTTTTACACTTTTAAATCCTTCCAGCGTTGGGGCTCCTCGGTGTGTGACCGTGCACCGCGCCTCGGTGTGTGACCGTGCACTGCGCCAAAGGAACTGTCCTCAATAGAAACTAAAAATCTGAATAAAAATAGATGGAGCTGTTTCCCAAAAAGGCTCAGACTCATCTGACCAGACTGACCATCTGATCAGACTCAGGAGCCAGAGGTGAAAACAGAGATTATCTTTCTGCTGAAATATTACATCTTTCCCTTTTTTATTAAAACATATTTCCAAAATCCTTTAGCACTTTTAAAGATGTTCCAACAATAAATGGGTTGTTTTGGAAGAATGTGGTTAAAGTTAAACATGTTACAGCACTAGCTCAAGACGATTCCATTCTGTGTGTTTGTATGTTTTTGTAGTTATCTCTGAGGACTTTACAAAACAGTCGATTCTCCAACAGCAGATCAGAGAATCAAACTGTTCAAACAGAGAGTGATAAAAACACATACAGCCTTTGAATCATACGGAGCAGAGACCAAAGTCCATAAAAGTGGTTAAATTGACATTAGTGAGTCCAATAAAATAAAACAGAGTTTCATAATAATGCAACAGTCGCAACAAAAACACAAGATCAAAGTCTGATCTAAGTTCATCCTGCTACTACTGCTGCTTCTGCTGCTACTGCTACTGCTGCTGCTGCTACTGCTACTACGACTGATGCTGCTACTGCTGCTGCTACTACTACTGCTGATGCTACTGCTACTACTACTACTAAATAATTTGTTATGTCAAAATGGCCTTTCCATTTCCTTCAAAATATGTTGTTGCGTCACTTGTTTTTCTGTCAAACGAAACACTGTAAAATAAAACACATTTGAATTTTTCAGATTCAGCAGAACTTCCAAATAGCAGCGACACATTTCCACAGAATCTGAGCTATCAGGCCAAAGCTGACGTCAGACCGAGGCTGGACAAATGCATTATTATCACCTTTAACTTGAGTGAAAAAGAGTCGCTATGACAACAACTTTAACCTCTACTTGATGTTACAATAATAGGATTTGCACTTTAGTTTTAGAAGAAATGACAGATGCATACAAGCATAGATGAGGATTCAGGGAACAACAACAAAAAGGATACATTAGAATTGTTTTTTTACATTATGAAGATGTTTTGACTTTACTTTTATTTGTCATGAAATGTGTTTATTATTTGAATTTAACCAAAACTGGACCAAATATAAAGTTAAACACATTAAAAACACAAACTTCTAATGTGTTGGGTTCAAATTTTAGAATAAATGAAATGCAGTTGTTTTTCTGATAAAATGCGTGATGTTTAACATGTCGTGGTCGTTCATATGGATAAACATCATGTTCGGGGCCACTAAAAACAGTCTTTGGGCCGCATCTGGCCCGCGGGCCTGAGTTTCACACGTCTGGACTGATGTCCTTTCAGTTGGAAAAGGCAACAGGAAAGTTACACAATTCACCTTTAATACCTTTCTTTTCTCTCAAACCAATGAGACTTTTGACCTTTTCCAAGACACAAAAACAAAGACAATCAACACAAGTTTAAACGTTGCCATATTTTAGTCAGAGCCTGATTTTAATCCAGATTATAGTTTATTGATTATAGTTTGATACAGTTTTAGTCCAGATTATAGCCTGATACAGACTTTCTCTCCCCTGTAATGCCCTTCAGCACTAATGTGGAAACATGGCGGCGGTGAAACCAAAGCTAATGCACAACGACTGATTTATATCCTCCATGTGTTTAGCAGAAAGTGCTGACCTCACTCAGCTATCTGCCGGCTCCTGACCCTCTCCTGCTCCTGACCCTCTCCTGCTCCTGACCCTCTCCTGCTCCTGACCACTCCTGACCATCTCCTGCTCCTGACCCTCTCCTGCTCCTGACCATCTCCTGACCATCTCCTGCTCCTGACCATCTCCTGCTCCTGACCATCTCCTGCTCCTGACCATCTCCTGCTCCTGACCACTCCTGACCATCTCCTGCTCCTGACCACTCCTGACCATCTCCTGCTCCTGACCACTCCTGACCATCTCCTGCTCCTGACCCTCTCCTGCTCCTGACCACTCCTGACCCTCTCCTGCTCCTGACCATCTCCTGCTCCTGACCACTCCTGACCCTCTCCTGCTCATCTCCTGCTCCTGACCACTCCTGACCCTCTCCTGCTCCTGACCACTCCTGACCCTCTCCTGCTCCTGACCCTCTCCTGCTCCTGACCACTCCTGACCCTCTCCTGCTCCTGACCATCTCCTGCTCCTGACCACTCCTGACCCTCTCCTGCTCCTGACCATCTCCTGCTCCTGACCACTCCTGACCATCTCCTGCTCCTGACCACTCCTGACCATCTCCTGCTCCTGACCACTCCTGACCATCTCCTGCTCCTGACCATCTCCTGCTCCTGACCATCTCCTGCTCCTGACCACTCCTGACCCTCTCCTGCTCCTGACCATCTCCTGACCCTCTCCTGCTCCTGACCATCTCCTGCTCCTGACCACTCCTGACCATCTCCTGCTCCTGACCATCACGTCTCCGGACCATCACGTCTCCTGACCCTCACGTCTCCTGACCCTCACGTCTCCTGACCCTCACGTCTCCTGACCCTCATGTCTCCTGACCCTCACGTCTCCTGACCCTCATGTCTCCTGACCCTCATGTCTCCTGACCCTCATGTCTCCTGACCCTCATGTCTCCAGGCAAACCACATTCTCAGAAAAGAAACTAAATGCAAAGAACCCTGTGTATAAGAAGCCTGTTCCTGGAGGCCGTTGACACTTTATTAGCGTTAGCACTTTATTAGCATTAGCTCTTGCTAACAGTGGAGCAGAATCCAGAGAAGAAGAGACTGAACTATACTTTGTACGGTCTGTGGTTAAAGATGAGCTTTAACGTCATTTAGCTTTGATCTTTTATTGTTTTTCTCTCCAAGAATCGCACAGATCAATGCTTTGAATACACTCGACTCCATGTCCACTCAGTGACATGTGTCTGAAACGGTGATTTCTGTCAAACTTCCCTGTATTCCACCGGGATCAAAGAAGAACAGAACTAGAGAGAAACAAACTTATTTTTTCTGATGAAAGAAGACGGTCCAAACTTTCAGAATCTGGTTTCATATTTCACACAGTCATAGCACACAATATTCTGTGGGTCTTGAAAGTCAGTGAGATCAAAAACAACTGGCAGTCACTGAGTTAAAGCTAGGGTTTGTAACTTTCAAACCACAAGAGATTCTGTATTTGTCCCACAGCGCTAGCTTTAGCATAAAAAAGGAATCGAAAGGAATTAAATCTAAAATCTCCAACTTAATGAAGAAGCAAGAATCAAGTACAAAATGTCTAACTTTGGCAGAAAAAAGAATCAAGAACAACAATGAAACTGTAATAACATCTATGGAACTAGTTTAAACTTTAAAAACTGTTTAATCACTGTATATTTATCCGGTGTCAAAAGAATGGACCACCTTCTCTCGGCCAATCAGCTCTCAGCCCAAAGAGTCCAATAGTGACTCACTGAGAACAACACATGTTTTTGGTAAAAACAGTATGTTGTAGTTCTATGAAAACAAGACTAAACTCTATCACACGACTGCAGATTAAAGCTGGGGTTTGTAACTTTAACCACCACAATGGAACTGAGTAAGTGCCCAAAAATAACAATTGTAAACCGCTTTGTGACTCTGGTCTGTGAAAGGCGGTATATAAATATAGATTACTTACTTACTCAAAGAATCCGTGCTAGTTTCTGTTTACATCAGTTTTATATATTTGGGATTTTTCACGTATTTCAGCTTGAATGAGTCCCAAAGAGTCCCAAAGAGACCCATAGAGACCCATAGAGACCCATAGAGACCCATAGAGACCCAAAGAGTCCTAAAGAGTCCTAAAGAGTCCAATAGTGACTCAGAGGGAAAATGGATTCACAACATTTTACTTTTTACAAGTTCCTTTCTGTTACGACATCCACACAACACAGTGTTTATGAAACTCAGAGAAGTTAGGCACCTCAGCTTTAAGACCAAAGTTAACACATGTGGCACTCGACGTCGCTAGTTTTAACCCAAACCTCTTTTTAAGCACGCGTAAAATACGACACAGAGAAGTGAAAGAACGCGTGAGAAATGGATTTATGTGAAACACTGAGAGTTTGAGAGAGACGCAGAGAAGTGAAGACATCAAAGTCAAAAGCGGGAACTCACCTTTGATTCTCTTTGAAGCGGAGAGAAGACAGAAGACACCAGAGACACACCGAGGAGACAGAAGAGACCGATCAGACCGAGGAGACCGGGTCTGGACTAACTGCTTGTTGCTTTTACACGAGTGACAGCAGTGGATAAAACATGGATTCCAGTGTGAGAGTTTGCAATCCCGGGTTAGAGGCGACAGGGCAGCAGGTAGAAGCAGTGTGTGCGTATGTATATGTGTGTGTATGTGTGTGTGTGCGGGTGTGTATGTGTGTGCAATCGCAGGTGGAGGCTTCCTGTTTTGTCGCAGAGGTTGTGGTTCCAGTCCCGGTGGTGGTGCCTCGCTGCGTCCCCGCTCCAGCTCTCTCTCTCTGCGGCTGCGGAGAGAACCGTCAATGGCCGCGAGCTGTCAGGGCAAACCGGAACTTCCAATACGACAACTTTGTGAATGACTGTGGAAAATAAAAGCCCCTCTCTGATAGCCACTGACTTCACAGACTCAGGATGTGTTACCGCTAAATCCAACCGCTAAGAAAAAATATTAACTTTACTTTTACGCACTGGGTCTAGCAGAGAATACTAAGCCGTGCAAGTCAAATAAATTGATAAAACACAACTGTAGTTATCTTACAAAGTTGTGGATTCGCCAGCACAGATCAGAGAATCAGTCCAAACACAGGAAATGCAATGATAAGGGTTACAAATACAAACATAGAGTCATAAGGGGCGTGTGTTCTATGTCCATAAATGTCCATAGTTGTCTATAAATGTCCTGGATCATTACCAAGCTAATGCTAAGCTAACGTATATAACTGTTGCTATTACATGGTTAATAAAGCTTAAAGTCCGAGTGTGGATCTATAATGCGGTTTCTTAAACGCTTTTGTGTTTGTTTTGAAACTTCGAGTCAGATTCCAAAGGCTGGTGGCGCCCTCTGTTGGCTACTGTGTTACATAATATTTATAATAATAATAATAATAAAACTGCTTCTGTCCTCCGTGACCTGCTCCGAAATGATTACATGGAGACATAATTGAAGTAGGTCGAACAGAAAAATAGGGCATTGCACCACGATGGTTATCAGCACGTCTCCCGTCACCTGTGAACAGGGAGTGGGAGACAATTGGGTCATAAATAATTGAAAATGTTTCCAAATGTAATCCCTGTTTATGGATTCAGCATCACATTGGCTCTGATCAGTCTGCAGATCTGCTGTTACAGAGGTTACATATGTGGTTTTGATACAGCAGATTCTTGCACTAGTGTATTACAGACTTATTTATACATGTAAACAAACCAATATGTATTATTCTTTGGACTACAATGGTCTCCAACCTGTAGCTCTCCAACCCATTTCAGGTACTCTCTCTCTCTTGTCTCTCTCTCTCTAGTCTCTCTCTCTCTGGTCTCTCTCTCTCTCGTCTCTCTCTGGTTTCTCTTGTCCTCGGTGTCTCTCTCTCTCTAGACTCTCTAGTCTCTCTGGTCTCTCTCTAGTCTCTCTCTCTGGTCTCTCACTCTGGTCTCTCTCTCTCTAGTCTCTCTCTCATCTCTGTGGTCTCTCTGTGGTCTCTGTGGTGTCTGTCTCTGGTCTCTCTCTAGTCTCTCCCTCTCTCTGGTCTCTCTCTCTGGTCTCTCCGGTCTCTCTCTCTCTGGTCACTATGGTCTGTCTCGCTCTCTTTAGTCTCTCTCTCTCTATAGTCTCTATCTCTCTGGTCTGTCTATGCTCTCTCTCTCTGGTCTCTCTCTCTTGTCTCTCTCTGGTCTGTTTCTCTCTCTCTGGTCTCTCTTGTCCCTCGGTGTCTCTCTCTCTCTAGACTCTCTCTAGTCTCTCTCTCTGGTCTCTCTCTCTGGTCTCTCACTCTGGTCTCTCTCTCTAGTTTCTCTCTCTGGTCTCTCTGTAGTCTCTCTCTGGTCTCTCTCTCTGGTCCCTCTCTCTCTCTGGTCTCTCCCTGCTGTCTCTCTCTCTGGTCACTCTATGGTCTGTCTCTCTCTGGTCTGTCTCTCTCTCTCTCTGGTCTCTCTCTCGTCTCTCTCTGGTCTCTCTCTCTCTGGTCTCTATAGTCTCTCTCTCTGGTCCCTCTCTGGTCCTTCTCTGGTCTCTGGTCTCTCTCTAGTCTCTCTGGTCTCTCTTTCTAGTCTCTCTGGCATCTCTCTCTGGTCTCTCTCTGGTCTCTCTCTCTCTAGTCTCTCGCTGTGAAACACATTTGGTGAGTTTGTGTAATTGATGAAAAAGAGACATAAAATGGTGAAACTGTTGCTTCTGTCTGACAACAAGAAACAGATCCTTTTTTGTCTATTGAAAGTTTATTTGTATAGCACAGTTCATACACAATAAGGAAGGTGGTATTTCAGTTTCACATCCACTTCCTTCTGAACAGGTTTCCATGCAGTACCTTTCTACTCCACCAGATGACAGCAAACACCTACCTTCGTTTTTGGAGTTTGTAAAAGTTTAGTTCTTTACGACTCTGTCTGCTGAGGCTAAAACATGATTTAAAAATAATTATACCGGTAATTAAAAAGTAAAATTGCTCTGAAACAAGAATTAGTTTAGCCTTAAATATTTAAGATAGAGACCCTCATGGTTCTTAGGCCCGTGTTTAAATCAGACAAGTCCTGTTTTAGTGTCAAGAAAACACATTTATTTTCGCTCCAAAAAAACCCCACATTATTATAAGTTATATATTGTGGAACAATGTTTTTTAAACTTCATTTAATACATCAAATAAGTATTGTTTAATGAAAGTACTGACCACATTTGCTTCGTAATCTATAAGAATATTTATGTATACGTTTCAGAGCCCAAATAGTATCGTTTGTTTTCAGTGGCTGAGGATTGTATATTATATATATTTATTGAATTAAAACATTCTGATGTTTACGTTTGTGGCAAATACAGCTGTGAGAACGAATCATGAGAAAACAACTGTTCAATGAGTCCGACTGAGAAGTACCACTCTTCAAACACGTCAAACTAAATTAAATCACTATTATATTATTAGAACGCTCTCTCACTCCTCTCCTCTCCTCTCTCTCCTCTCTCCTATCCCCTCTCTCTCCTCTCCCCTCTTCTCTCTCCCCTCTCTCTCCTCTCCTCTCCTCTGACCTGTGCGTAATGCGTCATCCAGACCAACGGAACAGGTGCCGCGTAATGACCCCTGGGGGACCCCGCTCGCCTCTGATTAAAGGAGATTCTAACAGCTCATGCTAACAGCTCATGCTAACAGCTCATGCTAACAGCTCATGCTAACAGCTCATGCTAACAGCTCATGCTAACAGCTCATGCTAACAGCTCATGCTAACAGCTCATGCTAACAGCACATGAACCCTGCTAATGTCTGG